CCCTCCTGCTGCTCTTGGGATGATGTTTTCTCACCAGGTCCTGACCCTGCCTGCTCTGCCTTTTCATGCTTGCCTCTCACACTTCCTGAGAGTTGAGGAAGGGCAGGCTGAGGTTCCAGGGCTTCCCGGTGGAGGCTGCAACTTGTGCTGACTGGGGCATCGGATGGTGTAGGAGACCGACTCCAGGAGCCACTTCAGACTACTCCAAGCTACAGCAGCCTCCACCTTCTCCCTCTGGGAGCCTTCCCAGGCATCCAGCAGTGGAGAAGGTGGATCCAACTTCCCCAACCAGGACCGGGGGGCCAAGGCTACTCCAAATAAGTATCCACTACAGGGCACTGACCATTGTGTCCTTCCACGGTGGCACCTCGGACCAGGACTGCCCACCGCTGAGCTTCCTGAGGGTTGAGGAAGTGCAGGCTGAGGGTTCCAGGCCCTCCTGGTGGAGGCTGCAGCTCGTGCTGGCTGGGGCCTCGAATGGTGTAGGAGACTGACTCCAGAGGCCACTCCAAACTGACCTGAGGAGGGCGAGAGTCCAGGCTCAGAACGTCCCCTGGCGCTATGCCGCATGATGAGCAAAGGAACACAAAGTAACATTTATAGGCCATTTACACGGTCTTAAGCCCTGCTCACCTATCACCAACTCCTAACAGTCCTGTAAAGTGGGTCCCAGCATTACCCCCATGTCACGGACGAGAAAACAGAAGCAAGGAAACGTAACTGCGTAAGGGCACCCAGGTGGCAGGCGGCGGCGCCTGGCGCCGGGCTCCGGGCTCGGGGCCCCGCCCGGGCCAAGAGGACTGGACCGCGCAACTTCTGCCCCCACTCACCGCCCCGGGTCCCGCGCCCAGCAGCTCCAGCCGGAAGCGCCCAGGCCGCTCAGGGTCCGCGCTCAGCTGCAGCCTCCGCAGCTGCGTCTCGGCGTCCGGCCCGGCGCCCAGCGGCCTCACCGCGGCGTGCACAGCCAAGAGCACCGCGGCCGAGCCGGGGTCAGAGGCCGCCGCCGCCCCGCCTGCTGGCGGCGCCATCTCCGGTCCGGCCGGGTCTCGGCCCTCCGAGCGCGCTTCCGCGGGATCCGGCCGTTGAGCGCCTCCGCCGGCCGGAAACGCGGGCCGCGAGCCTGGGGTTCCGGGCGCGCCCGGAGCGTCGGGCCAGGGACGGAGCTGAGTCCTGGATCCCGGCCGAGGCGGCCCTGCTGGCTTTGCCCAGAAATGGACACGGTCCGCGGGTTTCCGGACACTGGCTGGGCGAGGCCGGCGGTGTGCACGAGGCTGGGGCCGGGCGGCGGAGGCGTTCACATTTAACCTTTGGGGCGAAGGGTCAGGAGCTGAAGCGCCGGCCACAACTGAAGGCGGGCGCGGCCTCTGCGCCCCAGGGGCTCGGCGGGCGGAGCTGCAGCCGGGGAGCGACTACCCCAGCGCCTGGCTGCAGCTGGACGCCGCTCCCGGGACCCCCAGTGGGCGACCACCGTCCCCAGCAGCCCGCAGCTCCCGCCGCCACGCCCACACGTAGCACTAGGTCGGCCCGCACCTCTCTGGGTACGGTACGGGGTCGACCCCCTCGGGGGCGGAGCGAGGGAGACCGCGGCCAATGAGCGCCGAGGGTGGGCGGGTTAGTACGGCGAGAGGAGTGACAGACAGGCTCCGTAACCAGTAGACATAGAAGGCAGAACTAAGTGGCGGGTAAGGCCCCCAATGACTACTTGAGCTCTTGATCCAGGAGACGGGAGCGGGCCATTCAGAGGCGCGGGGCCGGGCCTGGCGGACGCTTGTTGTTGTCCGGCCGGGGGAGGCGGAGGTCGCTGGCTCGCTCGCTCGCTCGCTCGGTCACTCGCTGACTTGCCGGGGTGCTCTGTGTCGGTCGGCGGCAGGTCGGTCGCGAGAGCGGGCTCTGTGCAGGGGGGCGAGGCTATGTCGCGGTGGCAGCCCGGATGGGCCGTCAGGGCCGGGAGTAACGGGACGTCGCCGCGGAGCTTCTTCCCCCGGATACAGTGCGGCCCGAGCGGAGGCCGCGGCGCCGCCCTCCGATCCTGAGGAGCCCACGCTGCGCGGAGCCCGCCCCCGCCTGCGCACCGGCACCGACGCCGAGCGACTTAGCCAAGCCAGGCCCGGCCTGGCGCGGCCCGATCTAACCCAGCCAGGCAGGTGGGTGTCCGCCCTGCTCCCCGCTCTGTCTCGGGCCGCCGGAACCACAGCCCCCAGCAGGCCTCGCGCGGCGCGCTGCCTCCTGGGACTTGTAGTTCCACCTGGTTCGGCGGGCTCCCGGCCCGGCCGAATGTGCAGCACCCCAGCGGGGCCGAAGGACCGCCCTCCTAGGCGCCCGGAAAAACTAGGCGCTCTTTCATAGTAGCGTGGAGGAGCCCGTAGCTTTCCTCTCCCCTGACCAGAAAGCAGCCAGAACAACGGAAGAGCGCCTGCCCAGGGGACCGCAGGGCCTGGAGTCCCAGGTGTCCTGGTTCCTAACCGGGATACGACCTCTTATCCCGGCCGAGGAGCCCAGCCAGCCTGAGGGAGACTGCAGGGTCGTGTCCCGTTGCGGACTCAAAAGTTACTCCCATGGTGGCTGGAGCTCTTCTTTCGGGATGGGGATGGGGAATATTGAGCAACAAGCTAAGCTAGCAGCCCCAGGGTGAGCAGGGTCCCCGGTGGTCCCAGCCTGGCCCCAGAGCTCGCGTGCCCTGCAGGGGGTGTGGCTGACCTGGAGCCCAGACTTGCACCCTCAGGCAAAACAGGATCTCATCACCTCTCCTGGCCGGGCAGCGGGGGAGCGCCTCATGTGCAGCCTAAACAGGGGCTCGAGTCAGCTTGTTCCCGGTCGCTCCACTTAGTGGGTAGGGGGGCTGAAGGCAGGGCCCCAAGGGGCCAAATACCCATCGTCTGGCCTCTCACTCCCCAGGCAGCACTAGCCCCCCTGGAGCACGGAGCTCCCTCCCAAGGACATGAAGCTGCTGGAGAACTCGAGCTTTGAAGCCATCAACTCACAGCTGACTGTGGAGACCGGAGATGCCCACATCATCGGCAGGTGAAGCAGGCTGGGGGGACTGGCATCTCGGTGGGTCACACGGCCCTGCCCTTGAATGGCGCCTGGGGGAAGAGTGCTTCATGGTCCCCCCTGCATCCCATAGGATCGAGAGCTACTCATGTAAGATGGCAGGAGATGACAAACACATGTTCAAGCAGTTCTGCCAGGAGGGCCAGCCCCACGTGCTGGAGGCCCTCTCTCCGCCCCAGACCTCAGGCCTCAGTCCAAGCAGGTGAGCCACGGTGGGGCCCACCTGGGGCTGGGGGTTGGGGGAAGGTGATGGGCCCAGTTGATGCTCCTTTCTCTGCAGACTCAGCAAAAGCCAAGGCGGAGAAGACGAGGGTCCCCTCAGTGACAAGTGCAGCCGCAAGACCCTCTTCTACCTGATTGCCACACTCAATGAGTCCTTCAGGCCCGACTATGACTTCAGCACAGCCCGCAGCCATGAATTCAGCCGGGAGCCCAGCCTTAGCTGGGTGAGGGTCAGGTGGAGGGAAGGGACCCACAGCCAGCCCGCCGTCCTTCCCCACTTGCAGTAGTCCCTGTGCTCCTGTCAGCCTGACTGTGGCCTGCCCTAGGTGGTGAATGCAGTCAACTGCAGTCTGTTCTCAGCTGTGCGGGAGGACTTCAAGGCCCTGAAGCCACAGCTGTGGAACGCGGTGGACGAGGAGATCTGCCTGGCCGAATGTGACATCTACAGGTGGGCTGGCTTCCCTGCGGGTGGGCCCCCTGGTATGTGTGGCACGGGGGGCCTCACGCCAGCTGTCGTCCGGTGCTCCCCAGCTATAACCCCGACTTGGACTCGGACCCCTTCGGGGAGGATGGCAGCCTCTGGTCCTTCAACTACTTCTTCTACAACAAGCGGCTCAAGCGCATCGTCTTCTTCAGCTGCCGCTCCATCAGGTGGGCGCCGCCCGCCTCCCCCAGCTCCCTGTTGGGCCCGTACAGCTTCCCCCGCTGTGCCGTCTGCACTCGGCCTTGTCCTCCCTGAACATCCTCCCTGGGGCCAGCAGCAGGCCTGGGCAGGGGGTCCTAAAACTGGTTTCCCCGTCTCCCCTCAGTGGCTCCACCTACACGTCCTCAGAGGCAGGCAATGAGCTGGACATGGAGCTGGGGGAGGAGGAGGTGGAGGAAGAAAGCAGAAGTGGAGGCAGTGGGGGTGGGGCCGAGGACACCAGCACCGTGGAGGAGGACAGGTGTGTGAGGGGGGCGATGACACGGGTCCCTGGAGCCTCCGGTGGGTACGACGGGGGGGGGCCTTCTCTGCTTGGTCTAAGCGGTGGCACCTGAAGGCCCACTGTGTGCCAACCTCCACCCAGGGTCCCAGTGATCTGTATGTGATGAGGAGGAGCAGAGGCCCCAGCTTCTTCCAGCTTCAACCAATGCCTGGACCTGTCTGCCTGAGAGGCCTCTGGGGCCTCCCCAGCTGCCGGCCAGACCCTGGCACTGCCACAGTCCTGGCACTGCCCAAGGCCACACCTGCCTAGCCCTTTGGCTCCAGCCTGTGGATGCCCACTCACCCCCCAGGCTCCTGCTGCCCATGCTGTGGCCAGACTCTGCAGCAGGGGACCTGGCGGGAAGAGCAACTGCCCTGCTCAAGTGAACTGCCACAAGCAGGGACAGCTGGACCACAGAGTTTATTTTTGTATTTCTTTTGGGCCTGCACACTCCAGCCCAAAGGGCCTGTGGCCAGAGGCCCCGCAAGCAGGCCCCAGTGGTCACCGGCTCTGGTCTTGGGCCGACCCCTGGTGCCCACCTGTACCCTCCACCTTGCCCATTTGGCCACGTGCACTGAGTGTCACTTTGCTGCAGCTCGTTCCTTTACAATAAAAGTTTCTGTGACTTAGAGTGGGCCTGGCTGCGATGTGGGGGCGGGGCCTGCGGTGTGGGTGTGGCCGGCTGCCTTTGGTATCCTAGCAACGGCCGCGCGCAAGGGCCGTGACCGCTAAGTCCTGGGAGCTGTTGGGCTCTGGGACTGCAGTCGCTGAAATGGAGGCAGAGGGGTGGGAGGCAAGCAACTTCTCGGAAGGCTACAACCTGGTTCTGGATTCAGACCTGTATGATGCGGATGGCTATGATGTCCCGGACCCTGGGCTGCTCACGGAAAAGAATGGTGAGGGGGCCTGGCCTCGCCCCACAGGCATCCCGCTAGGAAGTGGGGCTCAGTCGGGCTTGGGTTCCACCCCCTGGAACGAAAGTGCCCTGGGCAGTGCCCAGCAGGGCTGAGCCCCTGGAGGAGAGCTCCCTGTCACCGTCAGGAAATGGGACCTGAGGCTGCAGGTGGCGGAACCTCCACCTCCACCCGCAGAGTGGACTTTGACGGAGCCGCCGGAGGTCCTGCCCTTTCTGGCCAGCAGCCGGCGGTGGCCGAGCCTGACCCCACGCCCCCGTGCCCGCCAGCTGTGGCTGCTCTTGCGCAGCAGCCTCCACGAGGTTGTGGAAAAGGTGCGCTGCACCCCTCCTGTGCCTCCGGGCGTCCTTCTGGATCTGGCCCTTCCCCTGGGGGTTCCCTAGGCCAGAGCGGTCCCAACCTTTGATTGCGGGTCCGCCCACCCCGGCCCACAGGAGAAGAGAGCCGAGCTGCGCGTGGCGCGTCTGACGCACGGGCTGGAGCCCCTGCGCCGCTTGGAGGTGGCGGCCGGGCTGCGCTCGGTGGCGCAGGACCCTGCAGGCGGGCGCTTCGTAGTGCTGGACGGCGCGGGCCGCCTGCACCTGCACAAGGAAGACGGCTGGGCACAGGAGACGCTGCCGGCGCCCGTCGGGCTCACGGGGCTGGCGACCGTGCTGGGCCCGCTGGGCTCCGTGGGCCGTTTTGTAGGTTGGGGCCCCGCAGGGCTGGCCATTCTGAGACCCGACTTCAGCCTGCTGTGGCTGAGCGAGCAGGGGGTGGGCAGGGCGCCGGGTTGGGCGCCCTCCTGCTGTCTGCCGGTGCCTGACCTCAGGCTGCTGCTTGTGGCGGAGACGGACGGCAGCCTGGCGCTCTGGCAGTTCCGCTCAGGTGGTCGCCGCTTGGTGCTGCGAGGGGCGCCACTGCATCCGCCCCTGAGCCCAGCGGCCAGGCTCATGCGTCTGGCTGTGGGGCCGACTCCTCCCCACAACGTTCTGCGCTGCTTCGCGGCCTACGGCTCGGCCGTGCTCACTTTCGATCTGCATGCCTGGGCTCTTGTAGACGTGCGCCGGGATTTGCACAAAACGTGAGTGGGGCCCCCTAGAGAGGGTCAGGCATGTAGGGGCCCACACCCCTCACGCACAAGGCGGTGTCGAGTCCGTTGGGCTTCTCCCACTCCGCATCTACAGCACCATCTCGGACCTGGCTTACTGCGAGGAGGTGTTGGCAATGGTGACAGCTTCCCGGGACAGCACCGTGAAGGTGTGGGAGGCTGACTGGCAGATCCGGATGGTGTTCGTGGGCCACGCAGGTGCTCCAAGTTCTTTACACCCCGAGTCTCGGCCCTTTGCCTCCAGCAGCTCTAGGCTGCCCAGCATCTCTGCAGCTCTGGCCGGGCCTCGCTGCGCCGACTGTGACACTGGCTGAAGGCTCCCTGCCTTCAGTCACCCGCGTGACCCGCGCCCCTCCCGCAGGCCCGGTGACGGCTGTGGCTGTGCTCCCGAACACGACCCTGGTGGTGTCGGCCTCGCAGGACGGAACGCTGCGCACCTGGGACCTGCAGGCGGCGGCGCAGGTGGGCGAGGTAGCGCTGGGCTACTGGGGCCAGGACAAGCTGTCCGGGCGCGTGAGCCGTCTGCTGGCCCCAGTGCGCCCGGGCTGGCCAGTGCTGTCTCTGTGCGCCAGCAGCGCGCAGCTGTGGCGCGTGCGCGAGCTCTACTCGCCGTTAGCGCAACTGCCCGCCCAGGTGCTCCACCTGCAGGTGGCGCCCGCGCTGCCGGCGCCCGCGGAGCCGTCCCTGCCTACACGCCTCGTGTGCGCGTGCACGGACGGCTCGGTCTACCTCCTGTCGGCTGCCACCGGGCGCGTGGTGAGCGCGCTGCTGCTGGGCCCGGAGGACTGTGCGGCCGCCGTGGCCTATTGCCTGCCGCGCGAGGCGCTGTGGCTGCTGACCAAGGCCGGGCACCTGGTCCGCGCCAACGCGGCGCGCTGCCCCATGTCTGTGCTCCACCGCCTGTGCCCGCCGCCGCCCCCCGCGCCGCGGCCTTGCTGTCTGCACCTGTACAGTCACCTCAGGGACGTCGGAGGCGCCTTCTCCTCCTGGGAGGTTGTGCGCCAGCACCTGGGGGAGTTGCGCCGCAGCGCTGCGGCCGCCGCCTGGAAGAATAAGAACCGGTGGGTGCGGGAGCCAGCAAGGGCCTGGCGGGCGGAAGGGGCACGGGGCCCGCGCCGACAAGCTCTTGCCACCCGCAGGTACCTGCCCGTGGTGGGGCACACGGACGGCACACTGGCGGTGCTGGAGTGGCTCTCATCGAAGACTGTCTTCCAAACGGAGGCGCACAGCCCGGGCCCGGTCGCCGCCATCGCATCCACCTGGAACAGCATCGTGTCTTCGGGTGAGCAGCTCCCCTGCCCTGCGGCCAGGCCGCCACGGGGCCCCTCCGCTCCGCGAAGGCCCAGCCAGGCTCCGCCCCCCGCAGGTGGGGACCTGACGGTAAAGATGTGGCGCATTTTTCCCTACGCGGAGGAGAGCCTGAGCCTGCTGCGCACCTTCTCCTGCTGCTACCCAGCCGTGGCGCTCTGTGCGCTAGGCAGGCGCGTCACCGTGGGCTTCGAGGACCCGGACAGCGCTACCTACGGCCTGGTGCAGTTCGGCCTGGGCGACAGCCCGCGATTAGACCACCGGCCCCAGGACGACCCCACGGACCACATCACCGGTGAGGGGGCCGCGCAGGTGAAGCGCAGCCACCGCACGGCTCCGATTCCTGACCCTGAGCCCTGCCCCCAGGCCTGTGCTGCTGCCCGACGCTCAAGCTGTATGCCTGCTCCAGCCTGGACTGCACCGTTCGCATCTGGACCGCTGAGAACCGCCTCCTGCGGTATGCTGGGGCCTGGGGAGGGCTGGGCTCTCCTACCTCTGCCCCTCACCAGAGCCCAGTGGCTAGACGGGGTGGAAAAAGGCCTTGTCCCTACTGAGCCTCAGTTGCCCACTCTGGGAAGCAGGGGCTGGACTCTGGCCCCTGGGTTCCCCTCCAGGCTCCTGCAACTGAATGGTGCCCCTCAGGCCCTGGCTTTCTGCAGCAACAGTGGAGACCTGGTGCTGGCACTGGGCTCCCGCCTCTGCCTGGTGTCCCATAGGCTCTACCTGCCTACATCCTACCTGGTTAAGGTGTGTGGTGAGGACACAGTGGGCAAGGTTGCCCCCCTTGGGGGGCGGACTCGGGTTTCCCCAGCCAGGGATATAGGTTCCTTCTCCTATTCAGAAGATGTGCCGGAAGGCCCCGGACGTAGTGGATGACCCTCCCCTGCCACTAACGAGCCAGGAGTCACTGACCTCCACCCAGCTGCAGAAGCTCACCAACCTCCATGGGGCAGCCAGTCTCAGGTCCTATGCAGGCCTGCTCAGCTCTCCCGGAGGCCCCCCTTTCCTACCCTGGGTGGGAGCCTGGCTGTGTGGGCCCCTGTGGAGTTGATGTAAGCCCGCCTGAGCCCTGGTACCCCCATTTGGGGTTGGTCCTTGCCCCAGGCTCTGCCCCAGCCCACTGGCATGCCACCCGGCACCCCACCTATGCCGGTCCCTGTCTGCAGTGAGGCCTTGTCTCTCATCCATCGTCGGAGGGCAACATCTCAGTACCCGGTGCTGAAGGAGGTGGGGTGGGTCCTCCTTAGCCCGCCCTGCCCGGGTTCAGGCCCCCGCCCTCAGCCCTGCGGCAGGCCTGGGATCCCCGTGGTTGCCTGGGAAGCACATGGCAAGGCTCCAGGAGGAGCAGGCTGACCCCCAAACCCTGCCCTAGGACTTGGATGCCCTAGTGGCCCGGGACCAGGACCTTCAGCAGTTGAGACTGGGGCTAGTGGTCCCAGCAGCCCGGCCCCCACCCTCCTGGCAGCAGCGCCAGGAAGCCTTTGACAATTATCTACGTCTGATCTACGGCTCTGGCCTGCTGGTGCGTGTGGGGCCCCCCCTAGCCCAGCCCTGACCCCGGCCCCTCCTCTCCACCCACCCCTCCCACCCAGTCTCTGACACCATCCGTCTGCTCCCACCCCCCTCCCAGGGTATGCAGTCCAGAAGGGAGTCCCAGCGGTGGAGCACCGGGACCCTCACAGTGGAGAGAGAGACCTGGGATGTGTGTGCCCTACCCCAAGCTGCTGCCTGTCTTGGGCAGGCTGAGGTCAGCACTGCAGTCCAAACAGTGCCAACAGCCCCGTCCCCACAGGACCTGGCGGCCCTGTGCCAGCACTTCTCCCGGCCTCCCCAAAACACAGTGCCTATCCCACCCACCCACCAGAGGATGCACAGCAAGGCATCCCAGGTGAGACTTCCCACCCTCTCGTATGCCTGCTGGGCCCCCATGGCCCCTCTGCCTCCCTGTGACTCCTCCTGTGTCCCAGCTTCTGGCCCACTCCTCACTCAGCCACTACCTGGGCCTGAGTCTGGAGCTGCAGCTGCAGGTGGAGCGGCTCCAAGGAAGGACAACCATGGCCCCAGACCTGCCACCCTCCCACCCGCAGTGCAGAGAGAGGGACCCAGGCAGGTGGGGCACCACCTAGTGAGGGGCAGAGCTGCAGGGGCACTGGGCTGTGCTGTTCTGAGCCCCTGTTCCATCCCCAGATCCCACTGTTGCCAAAGAGACGTCCCCAGGAACCTCTCTCTAACCTCGGGGGCTTCTTTCCTGCCACCGTGCAGCCCTACAAGGTGAGACCCCCACCCAGCTCCTGCAGAGCCTGCCATCTCCCCTTTGCTGCAAACCTTTTTGTCCAAGTCTGACCCCAGGGCAATGCCCACCTACAGTCAGAGAGCCAGGCTGCAGCCTCCCGCTTACCTCCCACCCCTCACCCTTCACCCTCTGTCCACCCCTGTTCTGGTACAGCTATGTTTGTGGCCACAGGCTCCTTGCTGCTCTGGGAGCTGACATCAGGCAAAGCCAGGTGCCCCGGCCAGTTGTGCCTGCGCACCCCTTTCCCGGAGGTGCTGGGAGGGCAGGGCCCCTAGGAACTTGTCCTGGAAGATCAGAGTTCCCGCCCTTTAGGGGAACAAAGTCGAGGGAACCGGTCCCTTCAGAATCCACTGTCTTTCCGCCCTCACCTACGGCAGGTGCTCAGGCAGGCCTCAGCCCCTCCCCCAGCATATGCCTGGCAGCATCACCTGCCCAGGTGCGTGACTGGCTCTTCGGACCTGGGCACCGCCACCACGCCCTCTGTTGCCCTCTCTCCAAGCTGCTTCCTTCCTCCCCGGCCCCTGTGCTGCTGTCAGACTGTTGTCCCAGGGCTGGTGCCAAGTCCCGTGAGGAGATTGTGGGGTGTTGGGGCCCCCAGAAGCCAGCACTTCCCTGGGTTTCCCTTCTTGTTTGTCACAGCTGATGCTCACTGAGGACCCCGCTCCTGGTATCTCAGGGTTCTCCTGCCATCTGTTCTCCAGGGGCTGCCAGCTCTTGGAGGCCTGGCAGGCAGAGCTGGACTGGTGGCTGGGGGGCTCTGAGAGGTGATACGCGTGACCAAGGGTGGTGTCCACACTGGGGGAATCCAGGTTCTCAGCATTCCTTGCTGTGCCCACCTCTAGTACTGCCCGAGGCCCATCTGCTTCCCCGGCTGCGTGCCCAACTCTGTGGTGCTGCAGCAGCTGTGGCTGCCCGCGGAGGTCAGCGGCCTCGGAGCCCTGACCCAGCTCGCCTCCCAGAGAAAGCTCAAGGCAAGGGGTAGGGCTGGGGGCTTTGCCGGCAGGGGAGGGCTCTGCTGCCTTGCAGCCCATCAGACACCACCTTTTGCCCCTCTGCAGTCAGGGGCAAGCCAGGATGACCTGTGGCTGTGGCACCCCAGGCCATCCCAAGCCCAGTGGCAGAGGAAGCTGCTCCAGTGGCTGGGGGATAAGCCTAGGGAGGAGGAGGAGGAAGAGGAGGAGCAGGAGGAGGAGAAGGAGGAGCTGGACTGGGCCCTGGATTCCCTGAGCCTGCACTCCAACCAGCAGCTGAATTCCTGGGAACTGGAGGATCAGGTAGAGGCTCAGACAGAGGCCCAGGCCACCATGGGAGCTGGGCTTACACTGAGACCCAGAGAAGTGGAGCCTGCAGCTGCCGCCACTCCCCTAGAGCGCTGTGGACTGGACCCTGGAGCCCCGCCCTCATCCCTGGCACCATCACGGGCATTTGCTCTTCGATGAGCACTATGGGCGTCTGCCCAAATTTATGCATTTCTTCATCTACCAGGCCTGGTTCAAAAAGTTATTCCCCATCTTCAGCCTGCAGGTTCGAGGGAACCGGGGATGCCTGAGAAGCGTGGGTTAGGGTGAGGGACAGGGGAGAAGGGAGGGGCTGGCTTGGGTGTGACGTGGGAGCAGGGCCTCAGCATGCTGCCCTGCAGGTGTATCCGGAGGCGGGCACAGTGGAGGGCCTGGCCTCGATGTTGGTGGCCCTGCTGAAGGAGACCACGTGGGCGGACCGCGCGCACATCCTCCACGTGCTGCTGAGACTGCTGCCCGACACGAGCCGTGATCTCCGCGGCCGGCTGCGGGGCCTGCTCATACACTTGCTCAACCTGGACCAGCCCCCCAGCCTCCAGGTGTGCCCCTCGAGCTGCCCTAGTCTCCCTCCCCGCCCACTCGCCCTCCCCAACCACGTCCCCTGCCGGCCTCAGGACCAGACGCAGAAGAGGTTCGTGATGCTGGCGCTGCAGCTGCTCCTGGCCTGCTCCCTGCAGTCCCGGGATGTGGTGCTGGAGCTCATGTCCTACTTGCTCTACGCCCCGCCACGCTGCCGGTGAGTCACGCTCCTGCCCGGGCCTCCCCACGCTGGGAAGGCCTCTGGACCATCCACATGCACCTGTCCCAGGCCAGAGCTCAAGAAGCTGCTGCATGGGCTGGGCCTTCAGGACCCGGAAGGCTTCCTGTTTGAGGAGATGGTGACCTGGGCCCAGGACCCCAGCCTGGACTCCAAAGCCGCCCTGCGCACTCGCTGCTGCCAGAAACTGGAGGACATGATCCAGCAGCTTCAGGTTGGGCCAGCAGGGCCCGGGTGGGCCCTGGGAAGCCTGTTGCCTTCTCTGGCTTTCTGCAAGTCCGTCCTGGGGGCAGAGCCAGCTGAGGCCATGGGCTCCTCACCCTGCCCAGTCCTGGACCTCCAGCCTCCATGCCCTAAGCATTTCCCTGTGCAGGTGGAAGTCAACTGAGGGTTGAGCCAGGGACGGCTCTGGGACCTCCTTGCTGAGGGAGGGGCAGCCCCTGCCTTGGGCTGAGGGCGGGGTAGAAGGGAGTTTCTGTGGCCATGCAGGTGCTCAAAGAGCCAGGGTGCTTGGCCGTGGGTGACCTCCCAGGCAGATGGAAAGCTCGCAGCCGCGCTCTGCAGCCAAGTTGCTGGCGGTGCCGCCCAAGGTCTCCGAGACCTCAGTGCTTTTCTCTCCTCCCAAGGAGACCCCATCGCAGGCTTCAGTGGTCTCTGGGGCACCCAAGCGTGCTTCTGTGACACCCTCGGGCACCTCCTGGTCACCCTCAAGTGTCTCCAGGAGGCTCTCACAGGTCTCAGAGGTGCCCTTGGCGGTGGTGTCACCTGTGGAGCTGCACTCGTTAGCCCCAGAGCTCCAGGCCAATCGGACGCTGGCATCGGCGAGCAGCTGGGGAACCCGCCGCGTGCTCTCGGAGGCGCTGCAGAGCTTCTGCCCGAAGCCCAGGGCCCGCGTGCACCCCGCTGGGCCTGCTGAGCTGCCCGGAGAGCCACTGCCGCTGGAGGAGACGGACTGGTCCCACGCGCAGCTGCTGGACTTGGGCGCCATCGACGCGCTCAACAACTTCTGCGAGCAACTGCGGGTGCAGCTGTGGAGCGCCATCCAGGAAGAGACAGCACACTCACACCCGCCAGGGCTGGATGCGGGGGTGCCGGTGCCCAACGTGGTGCTGCCGGTACCCGACGTGGTGCTGCCGGTGCCTGACGTGGTGGTGCCACCACCCCAGGAGCACTGGTGCGTGGGGCCTGCGCCAGCGGGGCCTCATGGGGCAGCCAGGCGGGGCTGGGACAGCTGAACCTGCCTCTTCCTCCCCAGGTACCGCCCGATCCTCCGGCTGCAGGAGGCCAAGGAGCAGAGGTCTGCGAGGTCCACGATGGGACTGAGGGGTGAGTGGGGACGTTGGGGAGACTGGGCCCCCAGCCTGCCCCAGCCCCTCGGCCTCACAAGCCTCTGCCCACCCCCAGGCCCGATGCCATCCCGGCTCTGTGCCAGCCGCACCCCGGACGGCCCCATCCGGATGCTGAAGCTGCCCCTGCCGCGAGTAGAGCTGCAGCCGTTCCCCTCCGACTGGCCCACGCCTGCCCGCCCACGGCCCCCGAGGCTCCTGCAGCCCGCCTTGCAGCGATACTTTCTGCCGGAAGACGCGGACCCTGACACCTACAGCTGACCGGGCTGGTGGCCTCAGCCCGCCTGGCTCTGGGGCCTGCCATTGGTATTTGGCCACGACCCGAGTCTGGAATAAAGCTCAGAGCCTTCTTCGTGATGCTGCCTCCTTTGGAGGGCCCTGGGGCACGCAGGGAGGGCAGGCATGTGGCCTGAGCCCACAGTGGCAGTGGAAGGCAGGAGCTGCAGGCCTGGCAGAGGTGGTCAGCCTGGGCACCAGCATTTCCAGAGGGGTGGCTGGCCTAGGGCAGAAGAGACCCATAGCAGGGCACCATCGGCTAGGCACTGAGCAAACATTTTCTGCTCAAGTACTAGGTGTTGAGATGCGGGCTGACCTTAGAGAGTGTGTCCTGATGTGGAGGGGGGGCCGGGAAGGGCAGCCACGGGAGGAGCCTTCCAGGTCGATACAAGTGAGACCAGGAGTTTGCAGACCTTGCTTTCTTGTTACTTTTATTCTGGAAAACAGAAGAATTGACAAAGGCACCAGGAGCTTTTATCTGAGCAGCAATGAAGGGGATCCTCTGACCCCTTTAGCCTAAAAGTCCCCGGGGGACTGGCTTGGTCCCCGAGGGCTCAGCCTCTGTGCCAGGCTCCTCTGCACCACGTGGCTGGCAGGGCGTAAAACCTGAGAACAGAGCTGTTGCGGCAGCTCTGGGGAAAATCCCCGGCTTTCACACCTGTCTTTTGTGTTGTCGGAGCCATGATTTCTCTCCTGTATTTGTAGCCTCTGACTTTACCAGTTTCTTCTCAACAGCTCTGGTGGTTAGAATCCCTCTTCCATGCCTGCTCTGTCACCCCAACCTGTGCAGTGGCCCTTACAGGGCCAGTAAGTGGCGGCTCTTTCCCAGGCCAGTGCTTGAAGTAGTGGTGCCAGCATCCCAAGAGCACGGGTGTGTGGGGCCATGTGGGGTGGCCGAGTTGCTGGGCCTGACCTGCCGCTTCACCTCCAGGCACTATCCCATCCTCCCACTGCAGGAGGCCGAGGTGAGGCAGGGCTGAGTCCCTCACTAGAGGGCTTGACACTTTTTATCAAAGACAAGGAAATCTGAATGCCTTGATCAGTGTCCAGCAATGTCAAGGCCCCACTTTGGGCTCCAGCCTGCTGGGGCGGTCCTGAAGCTGCCAGGTCACAGGGTGGCCAAGGCCCTCTGATTTTTGGTCAGGACACAGGAAAATACCAGGGTGCGCAGGAGGATACTGGGGGACCCCACATGACCTACAATCAGACAGTCAGACAAGGTAGGTCATAATCACTCTCTCTCTTTTTTTTTTTTTTTGAAGATGGTGTCTCAGCTGGGCGTGGTGGCTCACGCCTATAATCTCAGCACTTTGGGAGGCCGAGGGGGCGGATCACCTGAGGTCAGGAGTTCAAGACAAGCCTGGCCAACATGGTGAAACCCTGTCTTTATAAATAAAAATAAAAATAAAAAAGCTGGTGTCTTACTCTGTTGCCCAGGTTGGAGTGCAATGACACAATCTCGGCTCACCGCAACCTCTGCCTCCCAGGTTTAAGCAATTCTCCTGCCTCAGCCTCCTGAGTAGCTGGGACTACAGGCTCACACGACCACACCTGGGTAATTTTTGTATTTTTCGTAGAGATGGGGTTTCACCATGTTGGCCAGGCTGGTCTGGAACTCCTGACCTCAGGCGATCCGCCCACCTTGGCCTCCCACAGTGTTGGAATTATAGGCATAAGCCACCATGCCTGGCTTTGTGGCTAACTCTAAAACAGCCAAAGCAGGGGAAAAGTCCTGCCTTGGGAGGAAAAGTAGGACAGAAACCCCGTCTCTACTAGAAATACAAAAATTAGCTGGGTGTGGTGGGAGACACCTGTAATTCCAGCTACTCAGGAGGCTGAGGCAGGAAAATCACTTGAATTCTGGAAGCAGAGGTTGTAGCGAGCCGAGATCACACCAGCCTGGGCGACAGAGTGAGACTCCATCTCAAAAAAAAAAAAAAAATCGGCCGGGCGCGGTGGCTCAAGCCTGTCATCCCAGCACTTTGGGAGGCCCAGGCGGGTGGATCACGAGGTCAAGAGATCGAGACCATCCTGGTCAACATGGTGAAACCCCGTCTCTACTAAAAATACAAAAAATTAGCCGGGCATGGTGGCGCGTGCCTGTAATCCCAGCTACTCAGGAGGCTGAGGCCGGAGAATTGCCTGAACCCAGGAGGCGGAGGTTGCGGTGAGCCGAGATCGCGCCATTGCACTCCAGCCTGGGTGACAAGAGCGAAAACTCTGTCTCAAAAAAAAAAAAAAAAAAAAAAATTATCTAGTTTAGGTCAGGTGTGGTGGCTCATATCTGTAATCCCAGGCCGAGGTGGGCAGATCACTTGAGGTTGGGAGTTGGAGACCAGCCTGGCCAACATGGTGACCCCATCTCTACTAAAAATACAAAAAATTAGCCAGGTGTGGTGGCGCATGCCTGTAGTCTCAGCTGCTCAGGAGGCTGAGGCAGGAAAGTTGCTTGAACCTGGGAGGCAGAGGTTTCAGTGAGCCAAGATCACACTGCTGCACTCCAGCCTAGACAACAAAGCAAGACTAAAAAAAAAAACAATCAATTATAGCTTTTTTTTTTTTTTTTTTGTGAGACAGTCTCACTCCAGGCTGGAGTGCAGTGGTGTGATCACGTCTCATTGCAGAATTTACTTCCTTGGGCTCACACAACCCTCCCACCTCAGCCTCCAAAGCAACTGGGACCCCAGGCATGCACCATCGTGCCCAGCTAATTTTTGTATTTTTTGTAGAGACAGAGTTTCATCATGTTGTCCAGACTGGTCTGGAATTTCCGGGCTCAAGCGATCCTCCTACCTCAGCCTCCCAATGTGCTGGGATTATAGGCCTGAGCCACCGCACCTAGCCTGGCACCTACTCCTGTAACGGGACACAGAGTGAGTTGGGAATCTCTTATGAATAGTTGTATTTACTATAAAGACACTATAATCAAAATACTACTGATATAGAAATGACCAAACAGGCCGAGTGTGGTGGCTCACCCCCACCTCCCAAAATGCTGGAACTATAGGCATAAGCCACTCCACCCAACCTGGATTTTTTAAAATATGGCAAAAGACAGTGTAAAATCTAAGACAAAACTCAAAATGATTACATATTTAAATCTAAAATGTAAAGCTATAAGCATTTTGGAAGAAAATATTAAAAATCTTCTGGACTATCACTCCTGTAGTCCCAGAACTTTGGGAGGTCAAAGCGGGTCAATCACCTGAGGTCAGAAGTTTGACTACCCTGGCCAACATGGCAAAACCTCATTTCTACAAAAACAAAATTAGCTTGAGCCTGGGAGGCCGAGGTTGCAGTGAGCCATGCTCTTGGGACCACACTCCAGCCTGGGTGACAAAGTTAGACTCTGTCTCTAAAAAAAAATAAGAAGAAAGTAAAAGTCTTCTGGACCTAGAGAGTACCACTGCACTCCAGCCTGGGCGATGGAGCAAGACTCCGTCTCAAAAAGAAAAAAAAAAAATGTACATATGTACAATGGAATATTATTCAGCCATGAAAAGAGTAAATTCAGCCAGGCACAGTGGCTCATGCCTATGATCCCAGCACTTTGGGAGGCTGAGGCAGGTGGTTCACCTGAGGTCAGGAGTTTGAGACCAGCCTGGCCAACATAGTGAAACAAATGAGCTGAACAACATTTCTCTCTTCTTTTCTTTTCTTTCTTTTTTTTTTTTTCTGCAATGTCTAAAATGTAGAACTCAGACATTTCTCAAAAGAAAATGGAAAAAAAGGCCGGGCGCAGTGGCTCAAGCCTGTAATCCCAGCACTTTGGGAGGCCGAGGCGGGTGGATCACGAGGTCGAGAGATCGAGACCATCCTGGTCAACATGGTGAAACCCCGTCTCTACTAAAAATACAAAAAAATTAGCTGGGCATGGTGGCGTGTGCCTGTAATCCCAGCTACTCAGGAGGCTGAGGCAGGAGAATTGCCTGAACCCAGGTGGCGGAGGTTGCGGTGAGCCGAGATCGCGCCATTGCACTCCAGCCTGGGCAGCAAGAGCGAAACTCCGTCTCAAAAAAAAAAAAAAAAAAAAAAAAAAAGGAATAATAAAATACAATGAAATCTTGTCATTTGCAGCAAGATGGATGGAACTAGAGGACATTGTGAAATAAGCAAGGGACAAAGTTGTCTTTTTTTATGTGTGTGAGACGAAGTCTCGCTCTGTCGCCCAGGCTGGAATGCAATGGTGTGATTTCTGCTCACTGCAACCTCCGCCTCCTGGGTTCAAGTGATTCTTCTGCCTCAGCCTACAAAGCAGCTGGGATTGCAGGCCTAACCACCAGGCCTGGCTAATTTTTGTGTTTTTAGAAGAGACAGGGACCTCGTGATCCTCCTGCCTTGGCCTCCCAAAGTGCTGGGATTACAGGCGTGAGTCACTGCGCCCGGCCAGGAACAGAAAGTTAAACTCCATGTTCTCATTCACAGGTGAAAGCTAAAAAAAGTTGATCTCATAGAAGTAAAAAGTAGAACAGAGGATACTGAGGCCGAGGCTGGGAAGGGAGGTCGGCAGGGGATAGGGAGAGGTTTGTTAAAGGTTGCAAAATTAGGGCTAGATAGGAGGAATAAGTTCTGGCATTCTATACGACTGTAGGGTGACTACAGCTAACAATTACATAGTTGCAAATGGCTTTAAGGAGGATATTGGATGTTCCCAACCCAAATAAATGATATGATGAACGTGCTAATTACCCTGATCTGATCACTGTACATTATATGCATTGAAACATCATTACGTACCCTACAAATATGGATAATTATTTGTAAATTTAAAAACATCCCATTCGATAATGGGCAAATCTGGGCATGGAGGTGTGTGCCTGTTGTTCCAGCTACTCAGGATGCTGAGGCGACAGGATCACTTGAGCTCAGGAGTTCAAGGCTGCAGTGAGCACATAAGCGCACCACTGCACTCCAGCCCGGGTGATAGTGCGAGATCTTCTCTCAAAAAAAGACAAGCCACCTCAAAGGGTCTTCCTCTGGCCAAATCACGGACAATGTGAAGATCAACATCATGAGAACACAGTACGTATTACGTTTCTTTGAATAGAAGAGGAATCCCTGAGTCCTCACTGATAAATAGGTTAAGATAAAGCTTTTCCCTACAATAAATGATAGGATTAGAAAATTGCCACTTAGGCCGGGCTTGGTGGCTCATGCCTGTAATCCCAGCAGTTTGAGAGGCTGGATCATGCGGTCAGGAGTTTGAGACCAGTCTGGCCAAAATGGTGAAACCCCGTCTCTACTAAAATTACAAAACATTAGCCAGGCTTGATGACATGCACCTGTAATCCTAGCTGCTCAGGAGACTGAGGCAGGAGAATTGCTGGAACCCAGGAGCTGGAGGTTGCAATGAGATGTGATCGCGCCATTGCACTCCAGCCTGGGTGACAAGAGCGAAACTCAGTCTCAAAAAAAAAAAAAAAAGAAAAGAAAAGAAAAGAAAAAAAGAAATGAAAAGAAAATCACCACTTAAGCCAGGGGCCATGGCTCA